TGAGCCACAGCGCCACTTCCGGCTTTTTTCTTTTTGCTTATGTGGTGCTGAGGAATCGAACCCAGGGCCTCAGGCTTGCAAGGCAAGCGCTCTACCACTGAGCCACCTTCCTAGCCCCCTCATTACTTCTTCTTCGTCATCTTTTTTTTTTTTTTGCCAGTCCTGGGGCTTGGACTCAAGGCCTGGGCACTGACCCTGAGTTTCTTTTGCTCAAAGCTAGTGGTCTACCACTTGAGCCACAGTGCCATTTCTGTTTTTTTCTGTTTATGTGGTACTGAGGAATTGAACTTAGGGGCTTCATGAATGCTAGGCAAACACTGTACTACTAAGCCACATTCCTCGCCCCTCATTCATTACTTTTTTTTTTTTTCCTGGTCATGGGGCCTGAGCTTGGTCTGGGCACTGTCCCTCAGCTCTTCAGCTGAAGACTAGTGCTCTACCATTTGAGCTACAGCACCACTTTGGGCATTTTCTGCTTTTGTGGTGCTGAGGAATTGACCCCAAGGCCTCATCCATGCAAGGCAAACACCGTATCACTAAGCCACCTTCCCAGCCCCCCTCATTACTTATTTACAATACATTTTATAGTATTAGAGTCAGGTGCTGGTGGCTCATGCCTGAATCCTAGCTACTCAGTAGGCTGAGATCTGAGTATCATGGCTCAAAGCCAGCCTGGGCAGGTTAAACACACACACACACACACACACACACACACACCATTAGGTACTAAGTGTAAAATATTTTTAACACACACACACACCATTAGGTACTAAGTGTAAAATTTTTTTTTTTGTTTTTGCCAGTTTCAAAAACAGGAACTTTTTTTTTTGGGTCCGGCCGTGGGGCCTGAACTCTGGGCCTGGGCGTTGTCCCTCAGCTCTTCAGCTCAAGGCTAGCGCTCTACCACTTGAGCCACAGCACCACTTCCCACTTTTTCTGCTTATGTGGTGCTGAGGAATCGAACCCAGGGCCTCAAGGCAAACTACCACTGAGCCACCTTCCCAGCCCAGGAACATATTTGTGTGTGTGTGTGTGTCTGTGTCTGTCTGTGTATGTATGTATCCTGTACTTTGACAACAAAGGGATTCCTATCCCTGAGAGCTCCATTCTCTTAACTTGGCATGGCCACCACTCTTTACCTTTGTCCCAGTGAAGATTGGCAGTATAAGCTACTATTCACTTTGTTAGGATTATATTTTAGGTATAGTGTGGAAAATTATTAGAGCCATTCATTTTGGATGTCTGTCCTAGGCCTGAGTTTAAATTGTTGGCTGCTATTGCTTGACATAACAAAAGTTGTCAGACGTCATCAAACTACTTGAGGAATATTCATGTTGAAGAATCCCTGTAAGATGCTAAAAATCATTCAAAATTGTTTGGAGAGGTGTTGACAGTTGGTTTCCAGCAGATTTATGAAAATCAAAAACTTGAAAAGCACTCATTGAACTTGGCATGATGGTGTAGGCATAGGATCCCAACACTTTGGAGGCTAAGGTAGGAGGATTTTGTGTGAGTTTGAGGCCAGCCTGGGCTACATAGTGAGACTCTGGTTTCTTAGAACCAGACAAAACCAAAACAAACTCCGCCATGTATCAGAAATCAAATTACTTACTTTCATCTCTTGCCTTTTCAGTTAGCATCAGACAATGACCAAAAAACAAAAACAAAACAAACAAAAATCCTCCACAATTCCTTTTCTTACAGTTCTAAACTAAGGCACAGTATAGTAAACTCTACTTGCTATGGTATTGGTGCTATAACACAAGTAGTTACAGAAGCAGTCACAAAAATAGCAGGAGTAGTTGTATGATACAGACTCAGGGGTTTCTCCCAAATATTATGAGTCTCATAGACTTGTCTGAAATCCTCAGATCTTGGACTCCTGAGGAGCTAGAGCTACCAGCACCAGCCTTGATTGGTTCAAGGATTGCACTTGACCCCTTGAACCTTAGCTCTACTTTCAGCTTTTTGGTGGTTGAGATAGGAGTCTCATGGACTTTGCCCAGGCTGACTTCCAGCTGCAATCTTCAGATCTCAGCCTCCTGAGTAACTAGAATTATAGACATAAATTACTAGTGTTCAGCTGAATTTTTTTTTACTTTTTAATGATTTTTTGCACTAGGAATTTTACCAGTGTTTAATGAGTGCTTGGCAAGTGATCTACCATTGAGCTACATCCTCAGCTCTTTTTGTGAAAGTCTTGCTAAATTACCAGGCTGATCCTGAATTTGTGCTCCTTAGCCTCCCAAGTAGCTGAGATGGAGAAGTGTACCAAACAACTGACCAGACTGAAAAATCTTAATTCATGTACAAGCATACTGAAAAATCTAGCAGCTAATACTTGGAACTAGGGGTTTGTAATTGGCTGTGCAAGGTCCTTTTTTGTTGGATTTTGTAGTTTTTCCTTCTTTGACTTCTCCTCAGTTGCCCTTTCTCAGACCTCTTCCAATCACCTATTCAAATTCATTTAATGCATAATCTTCCAATCTACTTTCCATGTGTGATTTCTAATAAAATTTTATGATAGTGTTTTTATATTAGTTGTTTTAATTACATTTTTGAGAATTATACCTGTATTTATATGTAAATTTACCTTGTTTATTCTGCTTTTGCTATGTGATAATAATATAGTTATATCTTAATAGTTCTGTTTCCTCAGTGTTAGACCAGCTCCACGACGGTCCTCTCTGCAGTCTTACATGATATTACAATAAACCTTCTTGCCACCTGCAGTTAGGCCTAGGTGACTAGTATTCCCTTCAGAATTGCTAGTCCACTGCATAAGTGCCTTTTGCATTTTAATGAAGTTTCAGCTTGTGAGAATGGTTGCCATCAGATTCCTCTGTTTGAGCTCTGATTCCGCAGTAGCTTTCAGTCAGTACATGGGGAGAAGGAGCTCATTGGGAATGTGATTCTTTGACTCAGGCTAGTTCTGTGACTAAAAGCCATTCCTTTAAAGTTAAGTCAGTGTGATCAGAGCATAGACTTAAAGAATGTCTCTGTAATGCCCATTTGATTGTGATAATGTAATGAAAATATTATAACTAATAAGATTGTGATTTTCATTTTACAGGGCGCCAATGCCTCGGCATTAGAGAAAGAGATTGGTCCAGAACAGTTTCCAGTCAACGAGCACTATTTTGGATTAGTCAATGTGAGTATCCATTGATGCTCAGCTTTCAGAATCATTTTTTTTAACCAGTTGGAGAAATAGAGAACATGTTTAAAGACTAATAGCTGTGTGCAGTGGCTCACACCTGTAATCTTAGCTACTCAGGAGGCTGAGATCTGAGGAGTGTGGTTCCAAGCCAGCCTGGGCAGGAAAGTCCGTGAGACTCTTATCTCCAATAAACTACTCAGAAAAAGCTGTAAGTGGTGCTGTGACTCAAGTGGTAGAGTCTGCTAGCCTTGAGCACAGAGAGGCTCAGGAGCAGAGCCCAGATCCTGAGTTTAAGCCGTAGGACTGCCCCTCCCCCCCAAAAAAAAAGAATAATAAAAGAGAGAAATACTGGGGAAAATAACATCCTACCCTGTGGAGGTAATTCTAGTAAATCTGTATTAAAACATTGGAAGAACTTTAGAATTTTTTTTCTTCAGTTAACTTGGGAAACATCAGTGAGTTCAAGGAAAGTTACATTTCATTACCCAAAGAGTCCATAATTTTAGTGGGGCATAGTTCATGTGTTCATTAATCTGCTTAGTACTTACCCTCTTCATTCCTGAAGCAAAATTGAAGGAGAAACCGTACTGGGATACACAGGCTTGTGGTGGAATCATGGACATGACCTGTGTTCTACGCATGCATTTTCTTAATACTGAATAGGATGTGACCAGCCTGTGTGTTAGGCTGGGAGTGGCCTTGGCGTGAGAAAGGCTGACATTGAGGGACAGTGTGCATTTTAACTACAGTGCCTGCAAATATCCTTGCCTGCTTTAAAAAATTAAAAAAAATTTTTTGTTACTATTAATGTGTCAGAGAGGCTATCATTACATAAACCAGATAATGCCTACATTTCTTTTTTTGGACAATGTCACCCCTTGCTTAGCTTCTCCCTCCCATCTCTAACCACGTTACATAGCTCATTTTCCACGTAGTATACACCAAATAGTATAATTACATTTGTTCACCCTACTTCCCTCCCTTTCTGTGCCCAAGAAGAAGAAAAACTCAAACAGAAACAAATACCACCCTCACCAACAACCATAACAACAAAAAAAAACAAAACAAAAAAAAACAAAATCCATGTTTCCATTTCTTGGAGTTCATTTCCGTAGATAGTATTTTAAGTGTTCAGAGAAGTTACACCTTTGTGTTCCTTCCCTAAGGGTATCCTCCTTTAGTCTGTCTGGTTATATGTTAGATCTAGCTTCTACATAAGAGAGAAAACATGGGCTTAGCTTACCTGACTTAGCTTGTCCCTGCAAATGAAATTCTATACCACATTTTATTAATCCACTCTTTTTTTTTTTTTTTTTTGGGTCCGGTCTTGGGGCCTGAAATCTGGGCCTGGGCGCTGTCCCTCAGCTCTTCAGCTCAAGGTTAGCGCTCTACCACTTGAGCCACAGCACCACCTCCGGCTTTTTTTTTTTTTTTCCTGCTTATGTGGTGCTGAGGAATGGAACCCAGGGCCTTATGCATACAAGGCAAGCGCTCTACCACTAAGCCACCTTCCCAGCCCTCCACTCATCTGTTGTAAGGTATAACCTTTAGAATTAGCTTTTAAAATGTTGTAAACCATTAGAGAATACCACAGATCAGTGTTACAAGTTTGTGGTAGCTTGTACCACTGTTTATGCATAGCATCTTTTCCTGTTGGTCTTTTTTGCTTTTCTCTGGTGCTAGGGACTGATGGGGAAAGTGTTAAGTGGGAAATATCTGTGTATCTGTATATATCTACAGATGGCAGATGCAGATTTAGATAGACAAAAGAACAGGTGAGGTAAGTTACATTGAGTAAGTTGGTACCTCAGTTGATACTAGCAATTAGAAGGTACAAGATGTGGATTGGGGATATTGCTCAGCAGTAGAGCACTTGCCTACCATGTACTGGCCCTGGATTAAGACCACAGCACCCTTCAAAAAGAAAAAGAAAGTTGAGCACAGTAGCTCATGCCTGTAATTCAAGCTACTTTATGAGGCAGAGATGGAGGGGAGGTTGTGGTTCAAGGCTATCCTAGACATTATCTCAACCACAAAAGCTGGATATAGTGGTGTACGCACATATCATTCCAGTTACATGGAAGTATAAATAGGAGGCCGTGGTCCAGATCAGACCAGACATAAATTTGAGGTTCTGTTGAAAAAATAGCTAAAGTATAAAGGGCTGGGACTGGCTCAAGCCAAGTGTTAGAGCACCTAACTAGAAAGTGCAGGTCCTGAGTTCAAATCTCAGTACCAACCAAATAAAGCAAAACCCTAACCAACAAAAACCCCTCCCCCAAGAAAAAGATGATTTCTTATGGGATTTAAGGAAAGCAGTCAAAGTAGGTAGTGTGTTTCCCTTGCTTCAGGACCCATGTGGCTGTGTACAGATCTTGTAACAAAGAATCAGCAGTTCTACTCCTGTTGTCACTGTATTTGATTCCAGTGTCCTGCATCTTGTTTGTACATTTTTCTAATTTGGGAAGGGGAAGGGAAATTACAAAAAGCTGAAATAAGGATACAGGATGACCCATTGTAACAATGAGATGTACAAGACACTATGTTGAAAATGAACTTTACAACTTTGTGGGGGGAGGGTGGGGAGGAAAGAGATGGTAGGGGAAAAAAAAGAGGAGGTAACAATGCTTGACAGGAAATGTATTCATTACCTTGCTCATGTAACTGTAACCCCTCTGTACAGTATCTTTACAATAAAAATATATATTTAAAATTTAAAAAAATCAGCAGTTCACTGTTCTTCCTTAGAGTAAGCTGCTCGGTATTGTTCTAGCTATATTATTTTGATTTTTTTATTGTAAAGATACTGTACAGAGGGGTTTCAGTTATATGTTACATGAGTAAAGTAATGAATTTTTCCCCTATTAGTCCCTCCCTCCCCACCTCAGCAACTCCTCCTTCCCCCTCCCCAAGTTGTAAAGTTAGTTTTTGACATAGTGTCCTGTATGTTTTATTGGGTCAACCTGTCCTTTCATATTCGTAGTTTTCTTAGAATTAATCCTTTGTTTTTATTTGATCTTAATTTTAATTATTTTCCCCAAAGCTCACTCAGCCAAGGGAAACAAAACTAAACAAAATATCTTATTTCCAGTTTCTACTGAGTTCTATCCATTAGGTACTCTCTGTCTGTGGTGCCATTGGGCTGAGCCTTCTGGCCTGTTCTGGCTGGTTAGACTTAATCCTCAGCAGTCTCTTTTTACTACTGCAGATATCCCCCATCTTTCTTCCTGTTTTTCCAGATCCACTCTCTTCCATCTTCTTTTTTTCTCCCTCGCTTTGTGGCACACATTCTATGGTAGGTTTGTTAGGAAGTATTCATGAGCAGTAAAGCTTTGACACTGTTTAAAAATGCTATTATTGTTATAACTAGATATAAATGCTTTAAAAGTTTTAGAATTGCAGTAGAGTTGCCTAAAAAAATTTAAGGCTTCTATTGTCATTGTGCTGACATTGATGATCGATTTTTTTCTCTTCTTTTTTATTTTAAAATTCTTTGGGAATTTTAGCATTCTCTCTGTATATATTATATATGCCCATATATATTATGTAATATATAACTAATATACATATCATTTTTTTCAATTTGGTGATGTGTCCTGGTCTTCTTTCTTCATTATTACATTGGATATTTATAGACCTATTCATACTAAAGACTTATTTTCCTCAGTATTTTGCAGTACTATATTTTTTGGTAATTTCCTCCCTGTTACATAAGTCTTCTATGTGTTCTCTCTCTCTCATCTCTGTCTCTCTCTCTCTCTTATTAAAACAAGCAAGAACACTGGCCTGTTTCATTTGTTTTGGGTCATGTTAGTTGCATATTGGAGCACAGATTAATCTTCTCCCCTGTGTGTCCCTCTCCCCCCCCTTTTAAAATAATCTGCCCCTTTGTATACTCTGTGTTTTAGGCTAGAGTATTCTTCTTTGTCCAGCTCTGTATTTGTTTTATTCTTTGGAATACTGAGCTTTGAACTCAGGGACTTGTACTTGATGGGCAGGTAGGTATAGCAGGAGTTATGCCGCTTGGGCCTTTTTGCTGTAGTTTATTTTTCAGATAGGGTGTAGTGTATTGCCTAGACTGGCTCTTAGACCATGTTCGACCCACCTCTGCCTTCTGTCAAGCTGGGAATACAGTTGTGTGTCACTACATCCAGATGACTGTTTTCTGTTTTTTTTTTTCCTCAACAAAGCAAAGTTTTACTTTCTGCAAGAAGTGTGCACTATTGGTAAGCAAGCAGTTTGGATGCAATATCTTCTGTTATTCTCAGGATATCATTGCTTAGTTTTTCTGATAGTTACTAGATTGATTCTGAGTTAACTTTTTTTTCCCCTTTTCAAAAACTATTTGTCTTTTTTAGAAACCGTTTCCAGACTGTATGTATAAAAGTGACATTTCAAGAAACTGATTGGAGGCTTTATGTATTATGAGGGTTATTCTCTGGCAAAGAAAGCTTTAACAACCATAACAAACCCTCCGGAACACCCTACCTGATTCTCATTTTTTCAGGATGCTCCTCCACCCCAGAGGATTCTTCACATATGTGTCTGGCTCAATTCAGAGTCTTACTTTTTTTTCCTATTGAGTGTGTATGTGATATCTAATACCTAGCCCCAGGGTCCTGGAAATCAGTAGCCTGTTGCTTGTAGAGACAGAACCGTAAGTATTCTCTGGCTTGAAAGAACGAAGTGCTTGAGTGGATAGAACAGGCTTGTGTTTTCAGATACCTCTCCTGCCTCAAGTCCTGAGCCTTCAGGCATGAGTCTATTTTTATCCCACATCTCTGTCCCATCTATGCACTGGAATTCAGTTTTTCTCTATCTTCTATGTTTTCATTTTGTGTGTATGTGTGTCAGTGTTTTCATTTTCATTATTGTAACTGGACACTGTCTCTTAGCTTTTTCTGTTCAAGGCTAGCAACATGAAATCCTCACCTGATGCTGGTACCCATACTCCTGGATTTCCCAGCCCCTAGAGAGCCAAACACATTTTTGTT